GGCCCCAGAAGCCAAAAAGCTGAATGTTTTCCTTCCTCATCTCTTGTTTCTCCTTTTGCTTCTTGTTCATTGTATGACTCAAGTTGATCTATTTTAATTAGGTTGTGAAATAGAAAGGCTTGTACAGCTAAATTAATAATGTGACTAATACAGCAAATCTGTCAAAAGATTGGGTCCCATCTAATGTTTTCTTCCTTCCAAAGATAAGTGCTCACTACACAGTAGAGTGTATTATTTAACAAGGTGTTGTCACAAATAATGGAGCCAAGCTTTTGCATAATCCCGTAGTCCTAGAGAACTGGAAGAAGAACAGTAAATTATTTATCTCCACTATGGTTAGTCACAGGTTAAAGGGCTAGAAGGGCCTTTGAGAGCTATTCTTAGTTTTGATCCATAAAATGAGCGCAGATTCTGAGGAAAAGATGCTGGTTTGGAGAGGTCCATATGTCAAGTGAAAGGTGAATATTTAATAATGCTAACTGAAGTTTCTTTCATATAATATCTTTTTTGGTTTGCCATGACTGCTCAATCAGCTTAGGAACTATTGAATAAGCTGTAATAAGATAGTCCACTAATTCAGGATTAAGGACTCAACAAAACGCATGAAACTCAGGCCATTCAACTATCCGAAATGAGAGATTTTGCACGACAATTAATGAGACCAATGCCCAGTCAATAACTTCTTAATCCAGGACTTTTTGCAGCACTTAGCTATTGATCTATTCTGCTTGGCCTGATGAGTCTGCTTGGTGGTAGAGCTGTTGAAGTTTATCAAGTATAGCCAATTGTACACGGCGTAGGTCTCTTTCTACCTTGATCTGATGCTTGGAATTAAGATGTTTTCAAAAATTAGTAGTAATCGCACTACTATATTGTGATTCAGGTGGACAATGAATGCAGTACATGATGCGATTTTGACCATTAAATTCAGGTTCATTATTTTGTGCTGTTCGAGCATGTGCCCATGTCGCGAGAGCTGACTGGTTTCTCATTAACTAAGTTGAGGTCGAGTCTACAGTTATAGAGGGTGCAAGGAAGGATGAGTCCACCTCAGAATCCATACTGTATGATGTATAATATAAAGAAGGAAAAGGTGAAGTTCACAGATTGTTGAGTTGGGCATCGTCGAGGTATTAACTTACGGGGTCTCACAAGAAGCGGTGAACTGGTATGGATAAGTATGGATAAGTATTCCATCCATACCCATACTAATCCATACCGAGAATGGATTGACAGGATTAGGTAATACCCGTATGGAAAACCAGCCTGCTGAGGATAACCAGCATCTCCTAGCCTTTTAGTGGAATAACTCCACCTATATTAAATGCTGCCTCCCTTTTAGCCTGGTAACAGCTCTATTTCTCTTTAACCTCTTTATAGAGGCTCTCTACTGGATACTTTAGTACCTCCTTCCTGTATTTTATATTAACCATTATCTAGATAATTTTATTACTGTCATATATTCTCCCTTAATATCTAATCCTACAGGTACTTTTAATAAAGTCTACTATATGGTAACTAACTACCTAAGCATCCCTCACAACATAAGAAAGGATGAGTAAGGGACTTGTGTTACAGTCCTAGGAATCTAAATAGACTCTATTATGATGGAAGCTTATCTACTATAAGAGAAGCTATACTGCGCCATACTGGACACTATAGCTACCTGTTACAGGCTAGGCCGTAGAAAACCTATGACTAGGTATGTACAATAAGAACTCGCTGAAGAACTAGAATAGGGGGGTCTGCGGGCCTGGGTAGAAATATCCGATTGTGCGCCGCAGCTAGCGAGGGATCACGTGACTTGGACCATTAGTCCATAAATTACTTCATATCGCGAGTGCTGGGCAGCACGAGCATATCGCGGGCCCTGCTCGCAACACTACCCTTAATATAATAAGTCTTACCCTTAAGTAAACAGAGAGCCTTACAGGCTTACTAGCCTTCTACTTAAGAGTGGTCTAGCTTAGAAGAATAAGGCTACAGTCTCTATACACCTTTCAGGCTATCTTCCTATGTGGGAGCCGCACGCGCCGCCATATCCCTTATAAGGTATGTAATGATCTAGAATGGTGGAGGGACTCCTTATCTCTCTTTAATAGTATATTCCTAGTTAACCCCTGCTGCTGCAACATCACGCATCTTTATATAGATATCTCCACTACAGGCCAGGGGCTCTTCTTCTTCTTATTAAAGTCTACATTAGACTGCTAGCTGGCCTATTATTACCAGCTTTCTCTATATAATGCTGCTATATTAGCCCTTACTTAAGTTACACATACGCATATTAATATCATTAAAGTAGATGCTATTCTATAAGGCTTCCTACTCTTTAGCCACTATTAGCTTCATCATACTCTTGTTATCTACACAGATAGCTTTATAGTATACATAGGACTAAGCAAAGGCTTCCTTTATAGTCTGCCTAATGCACCTTTAAAGAGCCTGCTTATCCTAGAGACATCTAAATTATACTATGTTGGCTCCCCTCTAGGGAAAATATATTAGCAGATGCGCTCTCCTGTAATAATATTTAAGAAGTTGCTAATATTTACACCCACTGGCAGGACCTCTTAATATTAAACTGCCCACATGGTTCTCTCTATAAGCTCATTAGCTCAATGCAGGCCATCTAAAACTGCTATGGAATGGCCTTAGCACTAATACATGCTCTATCTACCTCTCTGTTTAGTATAACTATAAGAGACACTATGTGCTACAAAACTTATCAGCATGGCTAGCATTAAAATAGTTATTAATCTTATAGTTAACCTCCTGACTTCTTAGTAATTCTAACTAAAAAGTAATTAAGCTAGATACCGCACTAGTAGACTTAGCTGCTCTCTAAGCCTACTATATTAATAACTTCCTTAATAATAAACTCTTTAATAATAAACACTTTTAGTGTCTTATTAATGGCGCAAGAAGACTCAGCCTAATAATAAAAGTATGGGTCAGAAAGCCCATTTCACATGAGGCCATTATGAAACTATTATTAGGCCTAGTAGTACTTCTGTTATAGTCCTTAGAGATGACTATAGACCTTAAAGACTACTTAAACTTTATAACTACCTGCTGGGTGGCATTTACTGGATTCCTCTGCATTAGAGAATTTACCTATAAGAGAGAAGACCCCAGCACATCCTCTATCTTCTTATTAATAAAGCTAATGTATTTAGATATTAGGTTCTCCTCCTTATTAGACCATGCGCAACTCATACTTAAGTAGAGTAAGATAGATCACTGCTATGAAGGAGTATAGATTGTTCTTACTAAAATAGGAGATGGAGCATGCCTGGTTAATACCCTTTAGAAGCTGCTCCTTCTTGACCCTAGAGGACCTGATGCCCTATTATTCTCCTTCTACAGAAGACTATTTAGTTGTAATAACTTCCTTTCTACCTTATTAGCTAAGCTGAGGGTACTTAGATTATGGATGGATGGCTACTTAGGCTATATAGTTTTTAAAAGGGTGTAGCGCAGCATGTGCATAATAGTGGAATCCTTAATAACTAGATTCAGGCTCTTAGGAGATGGATCTTGGAGGCATTTAGGGTGTATTTCATAATAAATGTGTTAGTCCTATATAAGCTTAACCATTAGTTTCAGACAGGCTTGCCAGCTCTGCTATCTCTGCTAATTCTATTACTGTCCCCTCCACCAGCCTAGTTTAGCCTGGGTCATTAGGCCCTCTCTGATGCTACAGTCTAATGCATTTATATGTAAGACTACAGTGATAGGTGACCTGTTATGGCCAAACTATACATATACTGTCTATCTTGACTGCGTGAGGTCACTAATAAATAGGATAGTTTTATGTAACGGGCGATGCCCGATAGGCGCATGTTGCGGCTATCGCGCCACAACTTGACTCCAACCGCGAAGCCCGATTGGTGCCCGATGATTGTTATAACGACTTGCTTTCACCCAATCTTCTACTTTTCCTTTCTTCTTTCCTCAGCGATATCTTTTGTACGCTAGTCTTATATAGATTTAGCAACACGGGACTGAGCCCGTTCCATTTTATTGGGGTTGCCTTACATGATTATCACACTATGGATTAGGCTTCACTGACCTGCAGAGCTTACTGTGGGGTTCCTCCCTTCTGTAACTACCTTATAAGAGTTAGCTGCTCACCTCTGTAAGTTACTCATCATCTCTTATGTAGTTAAGACTTGATTTTTCCCACCCACCTCCCTATGTACATAGAATCATAGAGCCATTGTAATATATAGATACTTACCTCCCCACAGGGGAGCATGGACAGGGCCCTCTCTGATGCTACAGTCTAACATATTTATGTGTAAGACCGCAGCGATAGGTGACCCATTGCAGCCAAACTATACACATACTGTCCATCTTGACTGCGTGAGGTCACCAATAAATATATATATATATATATATTTTTTTTTTCTTTCTTCTTTTTAGTCCTTGATTTAATGGGATTAGCTGCCTTGCTGTTCTGTCTTCTCCCTGTTCACCCCTCTTTACCCCTCTTCGCCTGAAGCTGACCTGAATGTTGTCCACCCATGAACTCTCAGTCACCCACAGTATCCACTAGTATTGCAAAATCTACAGGTACCTGTCTTTTGTATCAGGAATTGATTGATACCATTGTCATTACAGTTGTCTTTACCAGTATTTATTTCCACAGAGATCGCCTTGCCGATCCAGCTAGGTCTTGTTCTTGACTTGTATCGCTCCCACTATTTCCTGAAATTTTTAGTAGAATATTATACATATGTATCTGTTCTTGGTAATGGATTCTTCAAAAGGGAAGCTCCACATAATATCTTTTGAATCATAGACCCATGTCAAGGGATGCCTGTAGATATGAGGCCCCAAGTTGAAAAGGCCTCAAACGCCCGATCTGCAAGCACTCGTCTTTTACTTGGAATTTTGTTCTCTCAATATCTTCCTCTCCTGTCTTACTGTTTGCCTTTCTCCCCCTACCCCTCCCTCCCTATTCATCTATCCCAGCCTAGAGAGCGTCGCACAATATGGGAAGCTTAGGCCCACTCTCCCAGTTAAAGCAAATCGCGGTAGCAGCATCCCGGGAAGGGAAGCTTGTGACCGCGGACGACCTATGTTCCGACAGAAAACAGCATGAAGAAGACTTGTTTAAGTCGGCTTTCACTACGCCACACCCTCACGTTGGCAAAGAATGGAGTGATGCGGATCGTGTGTCCCCGTACCCTCTCCTAGTCCCAGAATATTTCGTCGAGAATGCGAAGCAGCTGCAAGAAGCACTTGCGATCGCGGTGGCCAACATCGTGGAGCGATGGGCTGAGACCGGTGAAGGGGGCGATTCGCTTTCCCAACGCATGCCACTGCAGCCTCATGAGGATGCTCTTCTTCGGGTATGTGTAATAGCTCGGGTATTGGAACCCTTCCTGACACCTATACGATAGTGGATACACCAGAAATCCAAAGAAGGAGTTATCCCACCGTTCAAAGAGCGGATGGGACACTGGAGGCCGGATATCCTACTCTCGACTACAGACGATGGAGATTTATCCTTCCGCATCTGCGAAATCAACGCACGATTTTTCCAAAACTCCCTCATGTATTCAATGCAAGCTCTGACAACTTGTTCCCGAATGCTTTCGGATCACCCTGTGTTGCAACCAACAGCTGATCCGGAACATTTGCTTGATTGTCTTTGCGGTCTTTTCGATCCCAGCTTGCCGTTCCACATGTTGGTTGGCTGGGGCAAGCCGAAATTGTCAGAGGCAATCTGCAAAGTATTGAAAGAGCGAGCGGGGGTCTCAGCAAGGGTCATCAGCCCCTCTGATCTGCGTCTCGTCCCAGATGACACGTCTCCTACTGGTTACAGACTGTACGCAGACTGCGGAAAGTCCGATCTTGATCAAAATTCCACCCGTGCCGGCCTTGAGCCAGTCCATCAGGTCGGACTGTACTTGTACCAGGACGAGTTCCGCCGTCTAAGCATGGAGATGCTCCAGCACATAGCCCTCCGCTGTGTGAACGATATTCGAACTATTCTCCTAGTAGCCGACAAGCGGATCTTAGGGACTGTCCTCCAGGAGCTTGACGCCCTGGTCAATGACTACAAGGTTCTCACCGCTGAACAAGCACGCATCTTGCAAGATGGAATTGTTCCCACTGTTCTTCCTGGGTCTTCCGAACTCAAAGCCTTGATCTCGCAAAGTCGCAACAACGCCGCCCTAAAGAACGAGTACATTATCAAGCCATGTCGTGATGCGGAAAGTGTTGGTATTTTGTTCGGAGACGAGCTTCTGGGCGAGGAATGGGAACGCCTGCTCGCTGATATGCAGGACCCGCGACTTTATCCCCACCAGTTTCAGTATATTATACAGCCTATTGTCCGGCAGCCTGCCATCAATATTTCACGCGAAGTTGACCCAGCACACGGCGATATGAACATTGTCGGCCTCTATTATGCCTTCAACGGTCGTTACGAAGCTCTCGGTGCATGGAGGGCGACACATGGGCGACTCTCTTGTTACTCCAAGGGCGGTTTCAGAATCCCCTCAGTGTCCATGAAGTAGCTGGTTTCCATGTGCGCAGATCCGTGTCTTGCCAAAAGGGTTTAATCAGGCTTTCCCTTGTTCCGGAGACATATTCAACCAAGATCCAGTTGCTCTATAGTTGCTCAGCATTCAAGTGCAGGCCTTTCAAAACAGCCACAGCATCCAACTTCTCCATTTCAATCCTATCCTTATTCCACATATCCCTTAGCCAAGTAGTCAAGGTGAAAGTACCTGCTAATCTTCCCAAGGCAGATGAGTAGATGTAAGTCCTAGAAGTCTTCCGTTTCTTCGTCTCCTGATTGAAGGTGGTGCCAATGTAAGTGAACCGTATGTTCCCATTTTGCGAAACTGCTCTCCGAAAAGAAGCGTCACTTCTCATGTGCAACAGGAACAGTACTGTAGAAGGCGGTCAAATGCGGTCATGCATTGTGAGTCTCCTTCTCGAGCGAGGTGCCTATGTGAACGCTCCTCCTTCTAAGGCTGCGGCCTACATAAATCCTTCGGCCCGGCCACAGGGACAGCGCTGTCAAGAGGCGACCAAAGGGGGACGTGAGGATAATATAAATGCCCTTCTTGAGCGTCGTGCCGCCATGAATGCGCTCCCTGCTGAAGAAAAGGTGCTAACCGCCCTCCAAGCAGCGGCAGTTCACGGATCCAATGATATAGATCTACAGCTCCTCGAATGTGCTTCGCATGTAGCTGCTGCTGCCGCGCCAGTCAATGGAAGAACAGCTATTGAAGGTACTGCCAATCACGGTCGGCTGAACGTGTTGCAGGTACTTCTCAACACCTATGATGGGCAACAAGACCTGCGGGTTGTCTGTGGAAGGGCAGCGACTTACGCACAGAACGAGGGGCACATTGAGATTGCAGAGTGGTTGGCACTCAAGCATGCATCGCGATTTTGCAGACACAGATTTTGAAGACCCGATGAAGACTCTGTAGAATGGCAGTATATCGGACTTTGGAGCCTGCACTGACGCCACTGTGCTACCTCGGCCCTCATCAACAAAGCCTGACGGATACCCATGGTCTGACCAATATGATCAAGGGTATGCAACACCCATTGATGGAGGTCGTCCGACACCCCACTTGCAGTTGCAGCCACTGCAAGAGGGTACATCAACATGAAGACACCACTCAGTGGAGGCATTCCGTGGCTTCTGTTGAGGCTCATATAATCCACAAACAGAGGCTGGCTCGCGGCGGCTACGCAAATATCGACGGCCATCTGAATGATCGTATTGCGGACATGGACCGTCTGCTGTATTTGGTCCATTGAAGTATCACATCGGGATACGAGGTGCAATATCAGCTCATTCACCAGGAGGCGGCCCAGGCGATAGTATACTAAAATGCGCGAAGCCCAGACGTCCTCATAGATGTGGAAGCGACCATGGAAGTATTGCGAGGCATCTGTTGAGACTTTCTCCATGTAACCGTATTTGGCGGGAAGGCTCGTTGACCAGACCTCGAGTTGCGTTTCGCAGGCCAGTGCCTCCATCAAGGCGCTGCCTATTTGTTGATCATCGCGATCAGAGAGACTGGCACATAGACGGATGAAACTGAGGAGGATCTCGATCAGTGAAACAGCAGGAAAGTCGTCGTCGGCCTCGACAGGTATATCCGGCGCCGACCAACTTTCTAATTCCGGTGGAAAGTGTCCTCCGGTCTGAAAGTACTTGAAAATCAAAGTAAACGCGAACATGATATGAGCACGATGGTTCTTGCTGAAGAATTCTCGTGGCGACTGATTTCGCAAGGCTGCTGCACCTTGCAAATGCACAATCCATGATAGCTTTGACGTCGGGCTGGCGTCGACAATCTGTATGGACGGACGATCAGATTCATTACCCCTACGATGGCGGACCAGACGCTCCCTACCTCAAATAAAGCCACCATCAAGATCATCTTCATGGTACCGTCCAGTTGATAAGCCTTCTTAGATCTCAGTGTGTTCTGGATTGCCCTGATGGCTTGACCATACCGCTGGCGTGCTCCACGTAAGATGGCCTCATCCTTTCGAATATTCGAGAGGGCAGCTAACCCGACCGAAGCGACCGCGCTTCTCAGCGTCTCATCTTCACCGATTCGACGCAGGAAAGGCGATGCAAGGTTCTGAGGCGGGCATCGGCCCAGCCAGGCGTAAGTGGAGAAGTGATGGACGAAGAATTGCAACCCAAGTTTGTCCATATCAAGGGATGGCAAGGTCGAGGGTAATGAGTTAGCCGTAATATTCGACCTCATCAGCTGCAAACCAGCAGAAGCAGAATCGGATTCTGCATCCTTTCTTTGAGCTCTGGATCGAGCCTTGCCAGCTGTAGCTCGTCTGATGGTGCGAGCATTCTCATCTCGGAACAACAGAGGGAGCTCGTCCCGGTAGCCCACGCATTCCTTGCCGGCTCTTTTACACTGAGAGCAGGCAGGAACGGCCATGTCACACTGTCAAAGTCAGTACGACTCCTTTCTGTTATGAAGGATAGCCTACTTTGATGCGTCTCTGACGACACCCGAGACAGAATTTGCTCGGACGACAACAAAACGGCATCTTTGTCGCTGCACAGGTTGACAGGTCAATGTACCCCGAAATTAAAAGCAAAAGGCTTAAGAAGACTAAATCCGTATGTTGCCGAGGAATTGAATCCCCCTGAGTAAGTTGAGAAAGATGGAGACAGATCGGCCGGGTTTGTGAGAAAGATTGATCTAGACTATGCTCTAGAGCCGCAGATGTCACGCTGTCAAGGAGCCCCTTCAGCCACAATCTACTGCTAGAAAGGAGACACCTTTCTTAAGCTTCGAATGTCTTGGTCCTTTGGATGATGACATGAAACAGAGCGCCCAAGAGAACGAGGAAAGAGGCGATGCTGGCACTAACCCTTTTAGGCAGTCGCGAGGAGCCCACCACGCTTGCCGAATGAGGCAAGTATTTCGTCTCCGCTAACCCAACCAGGATAGACCAGTCAGCATGATTGGCTGCCCAAGCGAGGTCCAGTGACTGAGATGGAGAGAATGTCCTTTATTGGCTGGATGGTTGTCCTCACTCTCATCTACCGACACATCTAGTTTGGGATGCTTCAGGGGAGCAGAGTTAGCCACAACATAATAGCCAGATGAACACTGAAATGGGTGGCAGTGTCCCGAAATACATTCCCTTTTCTTCCACGCCATATGTGTGTGCCTCTGGGTGCCAATCCTTCAGCGACGTTTACTTCATAATGGGACTATTATATATACCTGACGAGGTCGCAAGATGGAACAATGGAGACGAATAGTCCATTCTCTAAAAGCTGAACTCGGTTACAAGTATTTCCTGTCATATCAATGCATCTTCCACGGGAATACAGGGCGTCCTATTACCAATACAGCCCTTCTTTAGGTGCTGCCATTCTCTTTGCAGTCTTGTACTCGATCACCTTGGTCCTAACCGTCTTCCAATGGATCCGATACAGAGCTTGGGTATGGATCACCATGGTTGTTGCGGTAGCTAGTAAGTGCATACTTGTGATGACCCATATTATCAAATATCATCACTAATATACCAAAGTGGAAGCAATAGGCTTCATCTCTCGGTCTATATCCGCCCAGCACGTCTCTGAACGCACCCCCTACGTACTTCAATTCTCTCTTATTATCCTCGCGCCTGTCCTGATGGCAGCTTGCTGTTATATCCTCTTCGGCCGTATCCTCTTCCTCGTCGTCCCCGCCGAAGCACGAACTTTCCAGCTGTGTTGGGTTCCTCCTCGCTTTATCACCCCGATCTTCGTGGGCTTTGACATTGTGGCCCTGCTGCTTCAGCTAGGCGGCGCAGTCTTGATCACTTCTGCCGACGGTACCAGCAGTGACGCAAAGGATAAGTTTGACCGTGGTCGCAAGATTGCACTGGTTGGTGTCATAGTCCAGATGATTGCATTCGGACTGTTCTCCATTGCTGCGTTTCGGTTCAACTTCACATCGAAACGGTTCGCGAAGCCCGTCGACGAGCGATTTGAAATGCTCGAAAGCAGTGGTGGAAGATCACTTGGCCCGAAGAAGAGCGCCAACTGGAATGCTCTGCTGAGAGTAGTGAACTTGTCTACTCTGATGATTCTTGTGAGTGTACCTCATACTGCTCGGTCCCTCACGTTAAGCCATCCCTGACTATTTTCCTATAGATACGTTCGGTCTATCGCCTGGTTGAATTCACCGAAGGCAAGAACGGATATATCAATCTGCATGAGTGGTGCCTGTATGTCTTTGATGCATTGCCAATCTTCCCATGTGCGGCATTGTTCGTCTACTGGCATCCGGGGCGGTACCTCCCATATCTAGGATTTCGGTTGCCGAAGAATGCCCGGTGATGCTGATTGACCTGGTTGATCATTGAAAGAGCGGTGGCGTACAAAAATTGTGTATGACTTGTATGGAGACCGTGGAGATCATGAAAAGGCCTGGAATGTAGTCAACTTGCAATTGGGGTTAGTTTTGAAGAATCAGTGTGGCCTTCACATTTCTGGACATCTGTCCACTTTTGTTATACTAGAGCAATATCTCGCAACTTCACATCAGCTCCAACGTGCTCCCCATTCATAATGCCATGTACATACGCTGCCCCAACCAGCCGGAATTCATCCTCCGTCCCAGTCCCTCTTAGCACCATCGCAGCCCCCGAACCCGACAAAAGCCACACTTCATCCCCAACCGCCATCGAGGCCGGTCCCAAGCCGAGGTACCGATTGGCAGTTACAAACAGCCTGCGTCGGCCGTGTTTTCGTCTCAACGCTTTATAGAGCTCTTGTCCCCCTTTGGGAAGCTGTAATATCTCGCTCTCATCCCAGGGCTGCCATGCGGAACCATAGTATGCTTTCTCGACCTCCTCGATAGAAAGCGTAAAGCAATTCTCTTCAGCAATTCCAAGAAACTGCAACTTATACAACAAATGAGTCAATGTCTGGCGACCCGGCTGGCTGAGATTCGTCTCCGGGTCTGCGACAGCGCGTGTGAGTTCCTCCGCGGACATTTCTGAGAGAGGTGGGCTCGACCAGGTCTTCCGAACATGGTATGAAGCCGAGAGGAGATCAACCACATTCTCTGGATCCTTTTCTGCAGCGCGCGCTGTTTCGGCAGCTTTGACGCAGACGAGGCTGCATACCATTGCTTTGAAAATGTCCCCGTAGGACGAAGGAGCTGGCAGTGATCCGTCAAGCGCCTGGTCCGCACAGAGGGTGCGCCACAGCGCCTCTGTTCTCGGTTGGCCGGTGTGGTACGGGACAGGGAGAAGCAGAGCGAGTTCCAGCCACCTTTGATCGAAGAACATGGACATCTGACCTGGTCCGCTGGTGGTGTTTCCTATGGCTAGAACCGAGTCAAACTCGACACCAGTCACGGGAAGTTTATTCCAGGAGCTACCCTGGATGGATCTCATTGGCGTATCCCCAGCTGCATGATGATTGGCGCACATCATATTGCAGAAGTTCGCGCTGTAATCCGGTACCCAAGAGGGTAGATCCACGATATTGCGGAGAGACTTGTCATGAACAGCGGACAGAATGCGCAACTCGCCTGCCTTCTGGATGATCTCCTTGGTCGCTCGGGCAAATACCTCTCCTACGCACTGGGAGTAGTCCGGGTGCCAATCGACCGTACCACCCACGCGCAGCAGACCGTAAAGTCCAAAGATTTTGTCCCGAGGATCGGTCGCGTTGAAGGTCCAGGTGTTGAAGATGAGATTCTCCAGCGACAGCTCTCGAGGAACTGTGGCCTTGTCGCCCTTCTGCAAGCGCTCCCGCCACTGAGTGAGATATACCATCTCGCTCTCGAGAGCTGCCACTGGCCGATGCGGATCAATAAACGCAGTAGACGTCGGGCCACCCAGCAACGCTTGTCGAAAGTAGATCTGCTGTGCCACTGTATGGAACGCTTTCCACGGGATCTCGCGAGTCCCGCAGTAGCCCATGATTATATCCGAGAGGATGTTCTCCTAGACGATCCACAGGCGTCTAAAGTAGGGACGCTGAAAGAGGGCCGCGAGGGAAGCCCACTCTTCCATCGAAACATAGGGAATCATTGCAGCAGCGTAGAGCTCTTCAGGCTGCTTCCTGTATGGTTGTATTTCCGTGCTTCGGATAAAGTCTCCTGCAGCGGTATCCAGTTTCTCGATAGTCTTAATGGCCATATCGGTGTAGGAATCTTCGGGCCCCAGCCAGACAAGCGTAAAGGCTGCGTTCCTGTATGTCTGATCCATGAGAGCAACCTGCGACCCCCTCTCGGCGATATCATCCTGGTTGATACAAATCTGGTCGATCCAGCACCATCTCTCGGGGCCCTCGGGCCAATCCACTCGCGGCTCGAGTCTCCCTCCTTTCCGATCGACCTCCTCCAGACACTGGATGATCTCCTTGTAATTGCCTTGCCTCGCATAGTCAAGCGGAGTATTACCCCGATTATCCGCAACCCTCGCGTCCGCACCAGCGGAAAGCAACAACTCCACCCCCTCGAGACTCCCCACCTACGCCGCATAACTCAACGGCGTAACCCTCCATTCATCCCTGACATTAACGTCCACACCAGAGCACAGCAGCGGCTCAATCAGTCCCCTCTTCCCGGCAATAGCCGCCCAATGAAGCGGCGTCCGGAGAAGTTTCCTCCGATTACCTTGGTTGCAGCATTTCGCCCATGCGTCTTTGGGGACAGAGACGAGCGCGTCATACGCACTTCGAGTGACGTATAACAACTTTCCGTTGAGAGATATCCCCTCTCTGTGCTCTGGGGGATATTTCTCTGAATACCTGTCCCGGGTCTCCCGGACCTGGGCGAGTTCGCTGTGCCGGTTGCCCCAGGTGTAGGACATGGCGTGGTACAAAGGCGCATCTTTCAGATCGACGGATTTGACGGTGCAATGTATCAAGCCATCGGGGTCTTTCTGGTCGACTCGTAGCAGTCGGATAGAGGTGGGGTTGGGTAGAGGCTTGTATTCATATGTTTGACGGGTCTGTGGAGTGATGGGAGACATTCCTATTCCAGCCGATGATGGTGTCGCTTTTTCTGGATATGCTCTTTGACTGCTGAGACCGCTCTCTTTATCGATTGCAAGTGTGCGTCAGAGAGTCATGCAGCAGATATCGAGCCATCCAGGTCTGAAGGCTCGACGGAATACGAGATTCAAGATCACCAAGCGAAGGATCAAGGCCTCACTTGGTGTAGACGCTTTCTCTTGTTGATCTTGGGAGAGTTACCATCCTAAGCTTGTTCTTGGAGAGGGCTATTCTCAACTAATCAATAACAAACGAACAGATGTCGCGAAGATTGTTAATCATGTGAGGGGAAACTACGAATATCCCCAAAGTCTTGACGTACCAGCCGGTCAAGGAGTTATTTCCCGCCCTTAGTTCTCTCTTTGATGCTTTGCATACGAATTGCTGTAAGGACTTATGGTGTGTCTACCAGGACAAGCCTCAATGTGACTACGTACATAGTCGTCATGCGGCATGTCTGCAGTTAGAGGGAAAACCGTAGAATCTGTCATTCACACACTAGACAGGCCCTCTTATGACATCTTAGATCAGAGCATTCTATTAAGAGAGTGGCATGGTATCCTATGATGGATCATGGACGAGGGGAGCGCCAAGAAAAATCCCTGCTAATAACCCTGCCACTGAAGCTTCGCCTGATAGGGAAGATGATATCGTGTCCTCATGGCCGGGTATGATTAGAAATGGACCGTGCATCTCGGTCTTTCCAGTGCGCTTGGGATTTACACTGAGATTCACTTGATGGAGACGGGAACTGCCAGTGCCGAGTCTGGTGGGTGTCAAGGTTGGATACAACGAGGCTCAAACAAGCAGAAAATGTCTCACTACTGGTGTATCTGCCTAATTGATTGTCCACTAGATTGTCAGCTTTAACCAACAACAGAATACTTAATCCAGTTACTGTTACACTGAACCCTGTGTAAAACATTAAATAGAGTCATAGACCCACCAGCTAATAAATAGGTGCTACGGACAGAGAATTTACTCCGCCACCAGTGATCTCTTTCTGCCTTGATATATGAGAGCTATTGACAGATCTCTCCGACTTGTGCTCGCTTCCATTATCAACTGTCCTGCCCAAACAATAAGTTCAATATCACAGTATCTCCATCCATCCATTCTTGCACATCAGCTAAGTACGCTCGTCCCGTCTTACTCTAAACCTGAGTTAATGACTATACCAAGCAGATACTCCCAAGCATGAAACTTTTCACGCCCTTTGTTATACTCCTCGGGACTTCGTCCATCGCCTGGGGCGTACTCGTCAAAGCCCCCGGCGCCACCGAAGAAGAATGCGGCCGCCTCGGAGTCATGTACTACGATCCGGATGAGCTTCCCGAAGGCGCAAACCCCGAAGATGTGCGCCACTGTGATGCCCATCCGTTGAGCGCCCAGAACTACTGGGGCTGGGGCGATTACTTGCCAAGATGGTTCCCTTGAAGCGGACGCAGCTAGCTGAATCAGCTGTTTTCTGTTTTCGGCTGTTGGGTTGACCGAGGATATGTCTGTGACGCTGTGGATGGGGTAAGGGGTTTGTTATGAGGGGTTTGTGTCCAGGAACTGTGAGTCGATCAACGAAGGACAAGTCAGTCGCTTATCAATCGATGTCTATTTTTGTTGTTCCGCTGGTTTAGGTCCTCATTTCTGACATGGAGAGTTTCTTGAATGTCGTGCTAAGTCTACTCAAGGCTAAAAATATAGGCCAAGAATATCGAGCATTAATATATATACACGATTGTTTCCGAGGAGGGGCCCGTCATAGATAGACCTCGAGCTGGTGCCGTGATATTGACCGACTGGGGTCAAGATTGCGACCGACTCATCCCGAATTTCCTCGCAATTTCCGCCTCGGTAAACTTCCTCGTCTTGGTCTCCAGCATAGCCGCTCTCTCCTCGAGCGACATCGGAATCTGGTCGCCCATCGGGACTAGACATTTGGCCAGATGCATATAGTCCTTCCGGATGAGCCGGTAGGTGATCATGAGATAGTCGATATTGCGGAATACGAGCGCATGCTCGCTCGCGTAGCGGTCCCTTTGCTTGAGAAAAGCCACGGGGTGCTCGCGCCAGTGGCGGCGGGGATTAAGATGGTGAGAGGTGTGGTAGCCGTCGTTGAAGCAGAAGCGGTTACTCTGTTATTGTTAGCTGCTGGTGGTGGTGAAATGGTAGATAGGCAATCGTACCGGAACATCGATCAGAGTGATACTGGATCTGAAATCCGAGTTGGGGTCCGTCTCGTCGACGAAGGCGTGCTGCCCCCAGTTGCCGACCATCAAACCCAATCTGAGGAGAAACAAGGGAAGGATGAAGACGAAGAGAGTTGCCCGAGCGTTTACAAAGCGATACATTGCGTAGATGAAGAGGTAGTTCCCTATCTCCCAGAAACCCGCCTTGAGACCTTGGAAGAACTGGCCTTTTCGGAAGAAGTAGCGCGGGAGCTCAAACCATACGAGGAAAAGAAATCGGCCCACATAGCACAGGAAGTCATACATCTCGTCACGTTGGTATCTGACTGTCGAGGATAAATCATCAGGCCCATTACCCTCGACGTGATGATGCTTGACGTGATGGTAGTAGTACGAGTTCCACGTATGTCCCATGAGAGGATTCGTGATGTAGGGAAAGAGCGAGTCAAACAGCCAGAATCGCTTGGCCAGAATCCCGCCCATGTGGATGTGCTGGTGCATCATGAGCGTGTAGGTTCCCACATAGTACGACTGCATGATCCAATGTAGGACGCCATGGAGCCAGGTGAAGTGATAGTACAGGTAGACTGCACTTGGGACGGATGTGGTAAAATACAAGATGAGATGCGTGAGCATCACCACGTCGGTTTCCACCCGGACAACCCTTCGTCCAAGCTGGATGTACGGCTGGAGGAGCCATTGGTCAACAGCAGAGGGAAGTTTGGCCCTGAGATCAGCAATCTCCCAGGTCATGGTGACGGTAGGCTCAAAGTCAACATGCTGAGGATTGTTGAAGGCTTCTAATTGCTCGGGGACAGACTTGTATTGCGAATTTTGTTGGGATGGGACATATTTGAGGGTCTCAGCGGATCATCATTTCGAGCCTTGAAAGGGAATGTCTACCTTGAACGACTTGTTTCGGGCCGGATGATTGTGCCTGGATGTCCGAGAGCAGAGTCTGCAGAACCAGGAGATCCGACCGGGTAAGATTTGGGTCGATATAGCTGTCGGGTTCCATCTTAACCCGTCGACCGGCAGATGCTCGGTGTGATTGAGGATCGGGTGGTGGTTTGTAGGAAGGAAAACTTGGCTCTTTTAACTTTGTAAGAAAGAACCCGGATGGCAATTTTTAGAGGAAGGGAAAAGGAGAGGGGGAGTGGGTCTAGCTGATGGACGCCATGGAGCACTGCTTGAGCTTATCAGGGGAAGTTTCCACTCTATTAATACATACTTATGATTGTACTGAGTAAAGTGAGCTTGACTTGAAAGTCAGGAGAAGGATACTACCTACTAGATAGACTCGATAGTGTATTGAGAGGAGAGTGAGGTTGGCGAACTCTTCAGCCTACGCCAAGAGCTCGAAGCGTGCATCATATGTTGACCAAGTCTACTCCGTACTACGTACAGTTTCATTTGCGGATAAGTAGGTGGAGCTAGCACTGAGTTATTACCAGATGCAGGCTCATAAATCAGGGATTTGATAGTGATATATCGAGATAAATATCCTTCTTGTGTCAGTGACATCATGACATTTCAGATCTTTGGAGATTCTCACCTGGCAATAGTAACATCACGTGGGGGAGGGGTCAACTGGCGAACTTCAAATTCTGGGCAACCGACCACTGACTGAGTAAATTAGTATTATTATTATTGCAAGAATGGAAAGCAATTAATGACACCATTTTAGCCCTTAAATGTCTGCTGTTGGTCGGCCAATCACAGCCTGTTTTTGTGAATGAGTGGATAACCGCTATGATCCATCAAGCTTAGGGCTTTGGTGCACTTGGCTCAACCCGGCATGACGCGGAACATGTGGAACAGAATTCAGGGGAATTTCACCTGAGTAATGTAATGTCGGATTCCACATAATCTGGTAATACTTATATTGGTTTCAGTTGATCAAACTGAATGAAGAACATGCACCGTGTTCTGACCATGTATGGAGATTAAGAAGTCACAAATGCCCTTCCCATCCTGGACAATAGACAATCAACTTCCTTGTTTACATACCTACCCGAGACGAGGCTCCTGCTTCGCATTGTCGAGAGCATTCAGGTAATGCACACGGTCTTTGACATAGAACTCGACGTCGACCTTGTTGCGCAGGTGTGCCTCTCCACCGTCAAGCGTGCCGGCCTTGATCCCCGTCTTGTCGCTCATGATCTCCAGCTCCGAATAGAGGCTCGATCCGCAATCACCGCAGAAGAAGTGCTTGTTGATCTTACCACTGTCGCCCGTGACATCATATGATCGCGGAGTTCCTGACTGGTGTTAGCTATGCGAATATAGCACTTTGGGTGGTGGTTATACCTTTAGTGACCTTGAAAGAATCTCTCGGAACAATAACGTTGGATGTGAATGCACTGCCGGTCCACTTTTTATGGTGGGTTCAGTCTTCATCGCCTTCCCATAGGGAGACTCGGCACAAAACCACCCCTACCTTTTGACAGTCAACGCAGTGGCAGAGGCAGCTCACTAAGGGCTCAGCTTGGATACAAACATCAGCACGAGAATAAGGCGGATTATGCGTTTTTCAACTTACAGCTGGAGGTATAGGCGATGGCACCACACATGCAGCTTCCATTGAGAGTCATGGCCACGAGCTATTATCCCCTGTCGTTGAAAAGATGAAACTGCAGCAGCGATTCCAGAATAGATTCCATTCTGGCATCTTATATGGATGACTCAATTTCACAATGCTCTTCGGTCTTGGTCGTATAAGCGGGGTAATACGGTTGCAACCGCTGATCCAATAGACACCGAATTGTGGATATCTGTCTCGTCATCTATGGTGATCGTAATGACTTCTGAGTGATAAGGGAAGAGTGGTATGAATACCTATTAATCTGGGGCAATGATTGTTACCAGCCTAGTACCTACTCTCTACTCCGTATATCGTAGAGAGCAAAAGTTGACTTAATATTTGTAATCATATATCACGTGATTCGCACGTTTCTTTGCCGAAATCGCCGGCGATGTCTGGAGCATCAATGACCTGCCTGTGACCCCCCACAAACGCTCAAATATGAATGATCGAATCAGTCGCCCTGTGAAAGCTGCCTGTCTAGCCTGGTACGTGTGCTATCTCTGCATATTTTTGACCAGTAGCTGAGGTTTCTCATAGTCGCGCTTCGAAAACACGCTGTGATGGACAAAACCCGTGCCGACCGGTAGGGCGTGTAGCTTACTGTTGAACCAGTAATTTTCAACCTGCTAATGCCAGAACTTGTCGTAAAGTGCATCTTAAAAGATCGAATTTGCACCTACAGACCCAGTAGAAGGGGCGGGCCACGTCGGGGTCTTCGACGGTCGGCTGTCGAGTCACCGCTACCACCGTCACAGGCCGCAGCAATAATCCACGCTCCGCAGTCTACGCCTTCACTGACAGATGAGTCCACTCTCACGCCGGTGGACTCCAATCTCTGGAATTCCGCGACCTCTTTTTCTTCTCTTGGCAGGAACCAGGATTCAAATCGAGCCCTGAAAGACGTTTGGTCCCCTCCGCATACGGAGACACAGAGCGAACTCCAAGGGCCGGTTCTACGGGTCTATGCGTCCGAAGAAGAAATGTACGTGCCAAAGGGAACATTGCTATTCATGCAGTCTGAGATTCTGCGTGATTACTGACTGTGGATGGTGAGTGTCGATGCAGACAAAATGCCTATTACCATTTTGTCCATCCGTGTCTACCTTTATTGCCCCCTCCTCCAACCTCGTCTCTGCCTCCAGACAATCCACACGTCTTCCAGCCCTCACATGGAGTGGTCGGCACAGTGGAGCTATCCTGTCTGCCCTACCAGCCGACATCCTCGCTGAGCCTAGCCTTATCTGCCATTCTGGCCATGTACCACCTCCCCAAGATCGGAATCAATCCGAGCCCTGCAGTGTGTGGCTACGACGATCTTACGCACATCTCTTTGCACAAGCCGCTCTCCGCATGGCAGAGAAGGAGATCGAGGACTTTTCAGGCGGCTGGACAAGCTCCGATGGTTTGGCAGAAGGCCGAACTTTCCATCCGCAATTACCGACGCAGTTGCATCCGATTCTGGCTCTGGTCGTCCTCAGTGTATATGACTTGTGTCAATGTGGCAATAGATCACGCATGCGAATGCGGGCTAATCAAGCCATCACCACAGCCATGGATTATTCGCTTCACCAGCTCGACCAGAACGCAACAGAAGCAGAGCGTCGAGCATGGTGGACTGCGGTTTGTGTTCTCTGGCCAGAAGATGAACAATGCGGCTAATGATTCAGACAGGTCATCGTCATGTACCATTCATCGGCCTGCAATGACTCGGTACGTTGAATTATCAAACGAAATATCTTACAGGCAACCGCAAGCTCTGACGATTTTTAATAGTCACCCATCATCAGCATCAGTGATTCGAGAATAACCACTCCATATCCCAGATTTGATATCCAGCGTAAAGTCTCAGAGGTAATAGGCTTCGTTCCAAGCATTTCCCATGCTGGATCCATGGGATTTATTCTGTGACATGGCTAACAATTCACTAGCCTTGGTCGCTCTTATTGAAAGCCCAGGATGCCATCGTCTCCGTCTGCGCTGTTATGCGTCCACTAACTGCGAAGAGCCAAAACGGCTCACCGGCACTGGATCTCCGGGAGCAGGCTTGTCGCCTTGACAGACACACACTATCATTAGCGGCGGATTGTGACCTGGAGCCGGGAACAGTGGAAAATGACCAAGCCGAAAACCTGGCCGTGTTGAGCCTTTGGAAGACTGCTTGTGCCATGACTCATACGTGAGTGTCTTGGTCGAAATCTGGCAAGAGATTGGAAACTGATGATTGTATTGATGTCTAGGGCTCGAGTTAGGCTCCATCGTTACAGAGCCTTCTCCGACATTCCCATCTTTCTGGAGAAGCATTGCGACCTTACTTTTCTCAAGCTGGATGCTTTTCCATCGCAGACCGCCTCGTTTGCGGCGCCGCCGGATCTAGATTCGATCTTCCCCTTCACCCAGAACGAGTCATCGATCATCTGCTTAAAGTCGTCCCTTGCTATTTCGCGTGCCCTAGCAGGCCTACCCCACTCAGGACTCTTGCCTCTGGGTACAGTACAGATGGACGAACGAAGGATGGGCTCTAACACCGCAAGGTACACCGGATCTCTGCCGTTTTTTAAATGTGCCGCGATGCAGGCCTCCTACGTGTTGTATATGTTGATGCACCGGGTCCGGGCGGCGCTCTCATCAAAACGCCTTTCGGTCTGCTATCCGCTTCTAAACCACCCGGAGCCCGTGACCGAAGTTCAAGACGCAAACCGATTGATAGAGGAGCTCCGCAACGGGGCTCATTCTCTGATTGTCTGCATGAAGCGGGACTTGATATTTGAAGGTATTGGCGGCATGATACGTGATCTTGACGCAGCCTATTTCTCTCTTTTCCCACACTAAGGTCACCTTATGTGCGGTAAATCTCCTTCTCCCCTGCAAATTGAGGTCTGCGCTCTAGACACTTCACCGTCAGCTGAATGTGGGACGGATCTCCTGCTCCCAGTCAAAGCTCTCCAGCAAGGCCATAAAATCCACATCGTCTCCTATCGTCATTCCGTTGATCAAAGGATCAGGAAATGTTTGCTCTGTCGTTGGCGATAGTACTCGATCAAGGACTTGTCTGATGAGCCTCTGGCCTTGCAACGCAATCTCGTAATCCCCCTGATGTTGCTGGATGAAGGTGTCTGCGTGGGAGATGAAGACGCTCAGCTTTTGGATGATCTCCGAGCGAGGAAACGGTGCAGAAGAGATCACAGGCTCAAGTTTTGGTTGAGAGTGTCGGAGTAGTTCGGTCGCTAGGGCACCTGCAGCAGGAAGACCGATGTAGCAAAGCTGCATATAATCAGCAGTGCTCAGCAGTCGACAAGGTAGGAGAAGACTTACATCAAGGATCGTCAACATGTGAATCCTGAGGGATCGCATCTGCCTCGACACCAACTCGAGTAGGCAACTGATGATCTCCAGAGAAATTTTGATCAGTGCATCTTGACCCTTGCCGGTTCGTTTGACAAGAGTCGAGTAGATTAGAAAGTCCTGGTGCAGAAACTCCACATGCAATGTCGCCAGATCCGGACTGTTCGACTCAGGGTCCCATTGCAGGAAGGCAGGAAGTTCAGAGCGCCATTGGCGTGCTCTCTTAAGGACTCTCCTGTCGGGCCACCGTATCAGTCCCGGAGATCGATCCCCACGAGCGCAAAGTGGCGGGAGCACTCACTCTGCATGTTCTTCCACATTTTCACCTCCGCGGCCTATTGACAATTCTAGGATATCCTCTCGAATCAAGCAAGCAAGATAGATGGTTCGTCCTCTGGCGCCGCTGTCTAGCTTTCCCTCTGTATTCCAGCCTTGCGCATCCAGCCTCATTAGTGCTGCCTGCCGCACGCTAGGAGCGGCAGTCAATTCCTCCCAAGTCAGGTCCAGGGGGGACTGGATATTGCAGTATTGTCTGCATATTCGGGGCGGCCTACCGAGGAACAGCGCTATGTCTTTGTCCAACCCGTATGCTCCGACCATAATCCTCTTCCGCAACTCGCATAGGAAAAAAGGAGTGTTTCTGTCATCCCCCACCTGATGAAGGCCAAAAGCAAAGACGATCGTAGTAAGATCGCCGAGTTTCTGCCAGGTTCTGTAATCTGTTCTTTATCAGTATACATCCCGATTTCGCCATCCCGAGCACAAGACTTACCGCCGGCGCCATATGTATGGTGGACGAAGACCACGTACTGAAGAGTGGCGCAGCAAAGACTATCGCTGATCGTCCCCAATTTGTCGCATAACTGTAGACAAATATCGCTCGCTGCCAACGCAATCCGCCGTAGCCCTCTTCTATCCTTGCCAGGGAGGTTGTCGCTCCGGAAGATGGGATCATCATGAGCAACGTGATAGATCGCGTAGCCTATCGAAGAGAGGAGAAGGGCATAGCTGTCCCACCGAGCGCCACTCAGAGCCACATACTCTGACAGCGTCATTGAAGCATGCAACTCGACTTCCGTCGCCGTATTGCGGAAGAAAGTCCTGGACAGCTCCAGCACACCAGCGTACTTGTCCCGGACACCCTCCGTTGCATCCCGATAAAGATCTCGGAGTACTTTGATGATAAACCGGAACATCTGGGTGCTAAAGATCCACCCATCCCAGATAGCGAACCGCTTCTCCAGAAGCTCTTCAAACAGCGGCAAATGATCCAAGAGCATCAGCACCTGCGCCCCCAGCTCCACCTGCCTCGAATCAACGGCCGCCGCGATCGACCCCGAACCCCCATTGTCCCGCGGCCGCATCTGGTCTAAGACCCCGGCATACCCTGTGACGGTGTCAGAGTAGCTGGTCAGCCCCAAAAAGCCCGGATTGGCAGATGGCCGCTTCTCCCAGGCATGCAACTCGCCAATCGCCAGGGGATGCGCCGGCGAGGACGCAGAGACTGACACGGCCACGGACACGTCGCGGATGTCGGTGGGAGAGACGCACGCGCTGAGACTGACGCTTGCGCTCTGGCCTGGACTACGGTTTGGTTTCTGCCTGGGTTTTCGAATCGCTGCTGCCTTGGTCTCGCGGGGTTTTGTGAGGGGAGCAGGATGATGCGCTGCTGAGGCAGAGACTGTGGAGGATACAGACAAGTCGCGGATGCTATCACTTGCGCTCGGGTCTTGGTTTTGGCTCTGGTTCTGACATGGGTTGTGTTCAGGTTTCTTCTTGGGTTTTTGAATCGCTGTTGCATTGCTTTGGCGGGGTTTCGTGAGCGGTGCAGGATGGTAAAAGCACTCGTCTGCCCGACCGGTGCGGATACAGCGGTTGCAGATCGGGGTTGTATGATCGCAACGGAGTTTGGATTTCCGGCATGGCTCGCAAGATGGGAGTTGCCCGTTGCGACGCGTTGTTTTCATGTTGCTTCCTCAAATGGTTGAGTCGGACTTTGAGTCGAATTTACCAGCGATGAGGGCGGGGGAAACAGGGATGTTCAATCATGTGATATTTGCTCATGTTCGTTCAACAGATCCCTAAACACTTAGTATATTCTCTTCGTTCCGTAATGAAGTACTTACCTGCTACTAATGTTTTACCACACTTATCGCAGAGATACAGCTTCTCTCCGGTGTCTACAGGAGTGGTCTGTGGATTTAGAAAAGAGGGGGAGACTCTTACGTCTCTGCTCATGGCCCTTGAGGTTGTGAAGCCGACCAAATGTCTTGGAACAATGCTTCTTGTATCTTAGACCAAACCTAGCAACAGTTTGAAAAAGGGTAGTGATACAGCAACACCCCCTGAGGATATAGCAACACCCCCTTACCTAATTAGGTAGGTGACCGTCATGTGACCACCATAAAAGTGGATTCTACCGTAGTAGGCTTAGGGAGCTACTACTCTATAGTAATAAGCATTAATATACCATTATTACAGGGCCCATAGGTACAGGCGCGGGCGTAGGCATTGTGACGCCCCAGTGCAGCTCATGTCTCACGTGACGTGTTTGCATTGTTTGCTCCACGACGCGCCCATGTAAACATTAGGCTGGACGGCGCCCGCGCCGTCCCTGGATCCTTTCCTTCTCTAGCTTAGAATTCCGTATCGTACCTACGAATAAGATTTACTCTTTTCCTTGAGGTTGTCACAGGCATGGGCACAGGTGTAGGCATAGATATAGGCATAGGCACAGGCAGTCTACAGGACGGTCGCTACAATTATATCCCTAAAAGAATCATTTGAATGATCTGATCAGTGGATAAGATGTGTAATTAGGAGGTAGACCTAGGTAGAATCAGTCAGCTGCAAATCCTATTATCAAATTTATATGGTAAATTAAATTATTTTCATCCTCTGCTGAGTTCACTTCTAAATTCACGGTGGTCACATGACAGTCACCTAACCAAATTACATAAGGGGGTGTCGCTAACGTAATCCACGGCCGAGCTACCTTCTGCTTTTCAAACACCGCAGAATCCTCGGCAGCTAGATCACAAGATCCACAGCCTGCAAAGAAGTCTTCAGAAAAGGAAGCTTTCCAGCAGTCCAGTATCACATATCCAACATCTTGAAAAGGC